CGGTCCGCAAAAGAGTGGGTGGTCAAACACCACCCCCAGCTGCGTGTCTAACAAGTGACTTTGTTTATACATTCAACCAGGTACTCATTTGAGGCCGAGCCAACATAAGGGATACCCAGGACCGGTTCACATAATCGTCACTGGTATTAGCCGTGAGCGGGAATCGAACTCCGAACCAAACACCACACTACACACACACATGCGTACAGATTCGTTCCAGTTACTCACTCACTTGCAGGCTATCGCATCATTATCACTCTTCTACAGCTTTTTGTTTATCGTTTGATGAACTTCAATCATTGATGACTCCACCATGCTGTGGACTCCGTCTACCAGGCTGACTCTTTCATTTCATCCACACTGTATTAAAATACCATCACACTGCAGATTACACACCAACTCACCCATTCATTTATTCACGTAAACCTTTGCCTTCTGCTATCCTCGCACTGGTGTACTTTGGAATTCCATACCATATGCTTTCTTCAAGTGCAAATAATAACATTGCTCAATTCAAGAAATGAGTGAGAGCATCGATAGTTTTGGGCCTCTGCAAATGTAAAAAAACACATTTATAAACTGCCCATAATTACAAACTCACACCTAACAGATTCCAAATTGAAAAACAAGTCACTTTCAATTCTAGATTTAAAGCTTTCGTGACTGAAGGATCCATACTCATATAGACGCATATAGACGTATATAGGAGGCACAGTACAATACACGTGAGGTGTATTGTTTGTCAAGTCGATGAGTGGTACGTGTTTACACACTAGGCCAGGGGTCGACAACCTGCGGCTCTTTAAGGACTCCTTCCTGACTTATTATTCAGGACCATCGTCTCGTATTCACACACGCATTGCGGCTCTTGAAATATTGAGTTTATAGCGAATTCGAAAAAATGGCTCTCATTATTTTGGTTGCCGGCCCATGCGCCAGGCGAAACGTCAACATTCTGCGGGTGGCCATGTGCACATGGCAGGTACAGTATACATGACACAAAGTGTACCCTGTACACACTAGGTCCTGTGTACATAGTGCTCATTGTATGCACAACGGTTGGCTACGTATGGTGCGAAAGTTCAACACACTCATCCATAATATACACTCAGTCTATACACACGTAGGACTGTGACAGACCCCACCACCAGTAATCAGACATGTGCTACTGCTGTTGTACACGTGGTACTGTCTACATACACGGTTCTGTTGTCTACACCATTTTCAATACAGATAAGTCTTACAATCACTACACGCGGTAGTGCGTCTAGACACACTACAAGTTACTGTCTACATACAGTACTCCACGTGAACTGCCAAAGGGTCCCTGGCAGGGCACCGGACAGCCCCAGGTGCCATGGGTTGACTGATATAACAGGCAGACATATGCACCACCTGTGTCCCGACTGTGCCAACTTTCTTAATGTTAGCTGACCGGTGCTCCGCTCGTTGTTGGAGGGTGACATCCTCCTCCTCCCCACAGAGGCCGATCTTGACACCGCTAGTGGCGGTCATCGGCAAGTCCACTCAGCCCCACATTATCCTGTACCGCAACAGTTCATCTCTTCTCTAGCCCGTGCTGAGCCCATTTAGTCCCCTCTATCCTGCCGAACAGAAGCTGCTTTGGCATGCGGTCTACTTGACCCAGCCAACGCAACCTCGCCTGTCAGTGGAGCTCATTGATGGCACTGTGTCCAGATCTTTTAAGGATGTGAGCTCTTCACGCAATTTTGCATGGTTGAAACCGGGACGAATCGCAGCAGGTTCAGCCTCAATGTTTAAACCGGCGCAGCACATGTTGATGCAAATGGTTCCACGTTTCGCAAGCATAGACTAGCGGGGGCATAATTTCGTCTTCACACTACAGACACACATTGTTACCCTGTCTCCACACACGTTGTTACCCTGTCTCCACACACATGCACGTTGTTACCCTGTCTCCACACTACACACACGCACGTTGTTACCCTGTCTCCACACTACACACACACACGCTGTTACGCTGTCTCCACACTACACACACACGTTGTTACCCTGTCTCCACACTACACACACACACACGTTGTTACCCTGTCTCCACACTACACACACGCACGTTGTTACCCTGTCTCCACACTACACACGCACGTTGTTACCCTGTCTCCACACTACACACACGTGGTTACCCTGTCTCCACACTACACACACACACGTGGTTACCCTGTCTCCACACTACACACACACGCGTTGTTACCCTGTCTCCACACTACACACGCACACACGTTGTTACCCTGTCTCCACACTACACACACACGTTGTTACCCTGTCTCCACACTACACACGTTGTTACCCTGTCTCCACACTACACACACACACGTTGTTACCCTGTCTCCACACTACACACGTTGTTACCCTGTCTCCACACTACACACACACGTCGTTACCCTGTCTCCACACTACACACGTTGTTACCCTGTCTCCACACTACACACACGCACGTTGTTACCCTGTCTCCACACTACACACACACGCTGTTACGCTGTCTCCACACTACACACACACGTTGTTACCCTGTCTCCACACTACACACACACGTTGTTACCCTGTCTCCACACTACACACACACGTTGTTACCCTGTCTCCACACTACACACACGCACGTTGTTACCCTGTCTCCACACTACACACGCACGTTGTTACCCTGTCTCCACACTACACACACACACGTGGTTACCCTGTCTCCACACTACACACACACACGTGGTTACCCTGTCTCCACACTACACACACACACGTGGTTACCCTGTCTCCACACTACACAAACACACGTTGTTACCCTGTCTCCACACTACACACGCACACGTTGTTACCCTGTCTCCACACTACACACGCACACGTTGTTACCCTGTCTCCACACTACACACGCACACGTTGTTACCCTGTCTCCACACTACACACGCACACGTTGTTACCCTGTCTCCACACTACACACACACGTTGTTACCCTGTCTCCACACTACACACACACACGTTGTTACCCTGTCTCCACACTACACACACACACGTTGTTACCCTGTCTCCACACTACACACACACACGTTGTTACCCTGTCTCCACACTACACACACACACGTTGTTACCCTGTCTCCACACTACACACGTTGTTACCCTGTCTTCACACTACACACACGTTGTTACCCTGTCTTCACACTACACACACACACGTTGTTACCCTGTCTCCACACTACACACACGTTGTTACCCTGTCTCCACACTACACACACACGTTGTTACCCTGTCTCCACACTACACACACACGTTGTTACCCTGTCTCCACACTACACACACACGTTGTTACCCTGTCTCCACACTACACACACACGTTGTTACCCTGTCTCCACACTACACACACGTTGTTACCCTGTCTCCACACTACACACACGTTGTTACCCTGTCTCCACACTACACACACATGGTTACCCTGTCTCCACACTACACACACACATTGTTACCCTGTCTCCACACTACACACACGTTGTTACCCTGTCTCCACACTACACGCACACGTGGTTACCCTGTCTCCACACTACACACACACGTGGTTACCCTGTCTCCACACTACACACACACATGGTTACCCTGTCTCCACACTACACACACACATTGTTACCCTGTCTCCACACTACACACACGTTGTTACCCTGTCTCCACACTACACACACGTTGTTACCCTGTCTCCACACTACACACACACACGTGGTTACCCTGTCTCCACACTACACAAACACACGTTGTTACCCTGTCTCCACACTACACACGCACACGTTGTTACCCTGTCTCCACACTACACACGCACACGTTGTTACCCTGTCTCCACACTACACACGCACACGTTGTTACCCTGTCTCCACACTACACACGCACACGTTGTTACCCTGTCTCCACACTACACACACACGTTGTTACCCTGTCTCCACACTACACACACACACGTTGTTACCCTGTCTCCACACTACACACACACACGTTGTTACCCTGTCTCCACACTACACACACACACGTTGTTACCCTGTCTCCACACTACACACACACACGTTGTTACCCTGTCTCCACACTACACACGTTGTTACCCTGTCTTCACACTACACACACGTTGTTACCCTGTCTTCACACTACACACACACACGTTGTTACCCTGTCTCCACACTACACACACGTTGTTACCCTGTCTCCACACTACACACACACGTTGTTACCCTGTCTCCACACTACACACACACGTTGTTACCCTGTCTCCACACTACACACACACGTTGTTACCCTGTCTCCACACTACACACACACGTTGTTACCCTGTCTCCACACTACACACACGTTGTTACCCTGTCTCCACACTACACACACGTTGTTACCCTGTCTCCACACTACACACACGTTGTTACCCTGTCTCCACACTACACACACGTTGTTACCCTGTCTCCACACTACACACACATGGTTACCCTGTCTCCACACTACACACACACATTGTTACCCTGTCTCCACACTACACACACGTTGTTACCCTGTCTCCACACTACACGCACACGTGGTTACCCTGTCTCCACACTACACACACATGGTTACCCTGTCTCCACACTACACACACACATGGTTACCCTGTCTCCACACTACACACACACATTGTTACCCTGTCTCCACACTACACACACGTTGTTACCCTGTCTCCACACTACACACACGTTGTTACCCTGTCTTCACACATGCTGTCGACACTCCTCCGTAATCTCAAAATGGCGCATCACGTGACCCGTACGTCACGTGACGCTATCGCACAAAGACGCGTCAAGCCGGACACGGAGCCTCCACAAAAACACCCCCAGCGGGGACAGAGACACCGCGACGGAGACAGAGACACGGCGACGGGGAGCAGAGGTAGTCCCGCCAGTCACGACGCCGTACAGCACTCATCCGCGTCGGTCGACCCGTCACTCTTCATAATCCGAGCGATGCTCACTCACCGTCTCCTCCTCTTTCTCCATGCCCGTAGGCATCTGCGGCACGGTTCGGTTGATGGACACATACTCCTGCAGGTCGGGTAGATCCTCCGCGCGGAAAATCGGCAGCGGCTTGGAGGCGTCGAGCGCCCTGGCGCGGAACGACAGCCCCAGTTTGCTCATGGCGACCGCCGCCAGGCCGCGCCGGGCGCGGGCGGGATGGATGGTGGGGGGGGCTTTGGGATGGGCGAGGGAGGGAGGTGAGAGCGGGGGAGATGCTAGCGGGGGAGATGGGTGGAGGCGGGGAGATGAGGTGGATTGCGCACGCCTCCTTCGCCTGCTCGTATTCCACAGCGCCCCCGCTTCTCCTTCCAGAAGTAGCACTCTTCCGGAAGAAGCAGACACTCCTCCCTCTTCAAATCCTTATTCCGGCAGCAAATTCTGCACCACCGCACGCCACGGCCTCTTCTTCTTGAAGCGGTAAACGTTACTTATTCTCCTCTGGTCTCTAAGCGGCAGCACATCCGCCTACCAAACCAATATCTACCTCTGTATGAGTTATTGTTGTAGCAGTCGTTTTGTTTCCTTCTGCCATAAGTGGTAGACGCTTCTTCCAGAGGCAGAAGACTCTGCCACGTGTTTATTTTCGATGCTACGACTTCCAGAAGGGGCCGCTCCTCCCCCCTCCTCCTCCCCCAGCAGAGGCGGGGAGGAGATGGAGCCCGCAATTACCTCCCCGCGAAAACAAATTTAAATATATAATCCAGTAAAAATATATAACAAAAATTACAAACGACAACTAAAAATTACACCCAACTCCGTTTACACAATTTTACACACAGCCTCGCAATTAATAAAAACAAATGTAAAATACCAACTGTGACGGATCACAATAATCCCTAGGCGCTGGCTAAGAGGCGCGGAGGCTGCGTTGGGACCGCGTGGCGCCTCATCCCGCCCGCACCACCGCTCCCTCACCACCCTCAAAACTACCACCAGCACTGTTACCGCTAACCACAGCTACTGTTGCTCTTTCTCGTCGCGTTGCTGATCGCGCCCTCGCCTCAGTCTCCTCAGCGGCGGCAGTGGCGCGCGCCGCGACAACAAAGCGGCTCCGCGAACATGGCGGCGCTGACGAGGGCGACCATAATGGACGCGGCGGTCCCGAGCTGCACCGCGCGGGGGGGCGGGGCTCAGGGTGGGCTGGCCGAGTCCTTGTAGGGGGTGGAAAGGCGGGGCTTCAGGCAAAAAGGGCGGGGGCCTAGTGGGGTGAGGGGCGGGGCTTACGAGGGAGAGGCGGGGCTTCAAGGGGCGGGGCTGGAGGGGGATTGCGGATCTTGTCAACAAGGGGAGGGGGGCCGGAATCGGAAATGTCGGAAACTGGGAGGAGGGATGAAGGAGGGGGCTGAGAAAGGTGGGGTGGAGGGACCGGAAAGGGAAATGACGAACTCGCACCAGGGGAAATGTTACACAAGCACATCGAGGCCAGAGAGAACGTGGCTATGAGGACCTTTTTACACCGTGGGGCCTGATAATAAAAAATATATATACTCATTAACTGTTTTTAATAGGCAAATAAATGTACACCTCTCGTCACTGTTGAGTAATACATTCTTGCATAATTGGAACAGTATGACTAATTTGCATTAAAAGTAAAATTAGATATCACATTGCATTTACGGGAGGAATAGTTTTTGTGGTCAATCCACTCTTCATAAAAGTTATATTAATTCGCTTAGACCAGGGGTCGGCAACCAAAATAACAAGAGCCATTAAACTCATTATTTCAAGAGTCCCAATGCATGTGAATAACGTAACGAAGCAGCCCTTAAAGAGCCGCACGACAATGTTTGTGTGACTCCTGAACCGATTAGACATTTAACACCGTCCATTATAACTAATCTTAAAATAATCTGCCTCGAGTTTTCTGGCTGGCTGCTGTCGAGGCTCTTAACCCCAATACGAACTCTGTTCATATTCTTGGATCTTTCCGTAAAGTCACGTAGAAAATAAAATAAAAAATAGAAATATATTTTTAATAATTTTATTTAAAAAATGTTATAAATAAAATATTAAAATGTATTATTTTATTTTGTATCTACGCAACTTTACCGAAAGAACCAAGAATATGAACTGCAGTCACGAAAGTTTTAAGTCAAAATCGAACTCTGTTCGTGGCTGCGGCCTGTTGCCACCGAAACTATCTGGGTAACTGGCCAAACGGGATTCATTGGAACAAACATTGAATGGAATTTAATTGGCAGAAAAGGTTCGGAAGACATACTTTACAGTTAAAGCGACACCGAATCGGTGGGAGTAACGAATAGAAAATACTGACACGGTTAATTTAACATTGCTCTAACTTTTCAATCGGTCATCCTATTCATGTAATTCGCCAGAATATTATTTGAAGCCTAGAGCATATAAAACAAAACTCAATACATATTGTCTTCGTAATTGATACCATAAAATGCAGATTCGTTTTCGTGCTCTGAGTATGGGAGGATTGTGAGAAGAGTATGACAATGGAATTTTATTATTTTCCTTTGCAGGGCAATAGGTTCTCAACTAGTTCTGGACAAAATCGAGTTTTTTAATATAACCGAGACGAGGCGAGTCAATAAAACATTTAATTGGATTGCAATTTCTTGATTATTTAATCTTATTTTGCTTTATCTCTGCTATCCATCTCATTCTGCACCGTTCGCCGTGCCCACTCGGCACCTATGAAAAGCACGGTTGGTTACGTGCGGTGCAAAAGAAGTTCAACATACATACAAACGAAAAAGTATACATCGCTCGAATCTTGAATAATTTTATTTCTGTGTCGTTTTATTCGATCCCTCATGTCGTGGATAGTGTGGTCAAGCTGGAGAATGGCCTAATTTCATCCTATACGCCACAACTTATTATGGGAGTTTTGATTTAAAGCTTTCGTGACTGCAGGGATTCATATTCTTGGTTCTTTCGATAAAGTCACGTAGAAGGGAAACAAAATAATAAAAATCTAAAACCTCACGACGTTTCAGCTGCAACACTGAACTAATTTTTCAACCACATCAATTCCATACACCCATCCATCAAATTTACCATGGAAGTGGAAAATGATGGCAAGCTACCATTCCTGGATGTTTTGATCGAGAAGAGGCCTAATTACTTGTTGGGACATTCCATCTACAGGAAAGGCACCCACACAGATTCCTATCTAAAGCCTGATTCCCACCACCATACAGTTTGCAATACATGTGTAGCGTTCGATTTCACTCGGACAACTTCTGTCTTTCTCCGAACACCGCTTTATTTACAACTCTCAGCATGTCCTCCACATTCCACAGTATCCAGGTCGCCACGGCTCGCTCGCCGTGCTTCACTCGACTCGCTCGCCACCTTTGTCTCTCCACTCCCCACGATTACTTCGCTTATTCTGCCGCTAACTTCTTCGTCTCCGCTCTCCGCTATCACCGTCGCTATGTTCTTTCCACTGCTAACTTCTCGTCTCTGTTCACCGCTATCACCGTCACTATGCTCACTCCACTGCTGCTGCTTCATCCCTGTTCACCGCTATCACCGTCACTGTGCTCACTCCACTGCTGGCTGTTCTCGTCTTCAGCTCCGCTATCGCTACGCTCTCTCCACCGCTAACTACTTCGTCTTTGTTCAGCTTCACTATCGCTACGCTCTCTCCAAGCTCCATCTCCAACTCCGTCTTCCTTCCAAACTCTGTCTTCCAAACTCTGTCTTCCAAACTCTGTCTTCCAAACTCTGTCTTCCAAACTCTGTCTTCCAAACTCTGTCTTCCAAACTCTGTCTTCCAAACTCTGTCTTCAAAACTCTGTCTTCAAAACTCTGTCTTCCAAAACTCTGTCTTCCAAAACTCTGTCTTCCAAAACTCTGTCTTCCAAACTCTGTCTTCCAAACTCTGACTTCCAAACTCTGTCTTCCAAACTCTGTCTTCCAAACTCCGTCTCTCAAACTCTGTCTCTCAAACTCTCCACACTTCAATTCCCCCTGTTGACTCCAAGCTCTCCAAACTCCAACTCCCGCTCCAATTGCCGACCCCCCAATTTATCCATGCTCTCATCACACCCCAATTAATTAACCCGCGTCCCAACGGCACCCCTCGTGATCGTACACCTGTTTCTCGCCAGACTTCAAGACGCCTCTCCAGCCCCGGCAACAGCACCAACCAATCACAGCCGTCCTTGGCTCTCCCAACCTAATTGCCCTCACATAACCTGTACTGTATTTGTTATCATGTAATCACGCTGTTTCCACAACTCACCTTTGTACTTCACTACAAAAGCAAACTCAGAACCGGTTTTGATATTCAGTGTTTCATCAGCAGAATCAGGATTGCTTGATCCAATGCATGTGAACTGCCAGATATTTATTGGCAAGGACGCTGGCAGATATGTTAGACACGCCCCCCTCCATGAGGCCACGCCCCCCTCAGTGTGTGAATCTGGCTCTGACACTAGCCAATGGCAAGGTCTGAAATCGCCGCCATCCTAAAAAAACCCAAGAAACCCATTAGTAACATCAGCAGGGACGAGCGCTCTGAATTCGCTCAATTGAAAAAGAGAGATAACATTGTCATCCTCTCAGCCGACAAGGGCAATGCCACGGTCATCATGGATAAAACCACATACAACAACAAAATCCAGGACCTTCTTAATGATGGCAGTCATACTAAAATCAACAAAGATCCTACCAACCGCCTGGCCACAAAAAAACGACTATCACTAATTCGACTTCTCTAATCGAACCGATCAAGCAGCTCTCTCTAAAACCTTCGGCTGCTAGACCACCCAGATTTTATGGCCTTCCAAAAATCCATAAAGAAGGTCCTCCACTCCATCCTATCGCATCCACCATCAACTCACCTATCTACAAACTGGCCCAATTCCTGTCTGAGACCCTGCTTACGTTCACGGGCAAGACCACCTCAGCAGTACTTAACTCAGCTCACTTGGTTTTTCTAATCTAGAACATTTCACTGTCTCCAGATGATTTGCTTGTCAGTTTCGATGTAGTCTCTCTGTTCACCAAGGTACCTGTACCTGACACCATAGCAATCATTGAAAACTTGGTCCAACAGTGACTGAATCCTGATGTAGCAACTTTGGTGAGGCACTGCCTTACCAACACTTACTTAATCTGGAATGGTACATTCTACAAACAAAATGAAGGTACCCCTATGGGTTCTCCCTTATCACTAGTGGTAGCGAATGTTTTCATGGAGAAATTTGAAACCGATGCCATCCTGACATCCACCCTACGTCCTTCCCTGTGGAAGAGATACGTAGATTACACTTTCGTCATCTAGCCAGATGGCTAGCCAGCACTGAACTAATTTTTCAACCACATCAATTTCATACACCCATCCATCAAATTTACCATGGAAGTGGAAAATGATGGCAAGCTACCATTCCTGGATGTTTTGATCGAGAGGAGGCCTGATTACTTGTTGGGACATTCCATCTACAGGAAAGGCACCCACACAGATTCCTATCTAAAGCCTGATTCCCACCACCATCCAGCCCAGAAGAATTCCCTCATCAAAACACTGCACCATAGGGCCCGCTGCATCTCCGACCAGCACCACCTAGCCAGTCAACTGGAACACATACATCAAGCCCTCAAGATGAATGGATACTCAGACCACACAATCCACAAAGCTGCATCCCCAACCATGGGGAGACAACCATCTGAGGACCAAATCAAAACCATCACCTTGCCATACATAGCAGGTGTTACCAAAAAGATTTCCAAAATCTTAAACAAACACAAGATCCAGGTCCGATTCAATACAGTACACAAAATTCGTGATTTGATCCCATCTGTGAAGGATGTCATTCCTGACATGTAATACTCTGGTGTCCACAAACTACGTTGTGTCTGCGGCAGCATTTACATTGGGGAAACGAAACGACATGTTTCAGACCGTGTTCGTGAACACAAGGCAGATTTGAAAGGGGAGAACCAATACATCTGCCGTGGCTGGTCATTGTTATAATGCAGTGGGCTTGCACAATATTGTTTTTTCCAAGACCAAGGTACTCTGCAAACCGTCGGGCTACCATCAAATATTTGTCCATGAAGCCATCCAGATATATAAAACACAGAGACAATTGCAACCGAGAAGATGGGTATAAGCTGAACAATAATTAGAAGGACGTTATTAACCAAGCAAAGTCGTA